TAAGTCTTTTAATTTTTCTTAGATGGAGAGGACTCATGTTTGTTGGAAACTAAGATGACATGTTTACAACCAGGCATTTTGTTTCTGATCCAGTGCTTAATAAACAGGGTTATCAAGTCAACCATGAAAAGAAGAGGAAGGACCCTCAGTCTTTGTTGTTACTCTTAACTGTCATGAACTCCTCTAAAATTTTGTGAATTAGTGGACTAATTCTTTTTAATTGTTCATTAATATAGAGTCCAGCATGCATTGTTCATGGGGGCCACACTTTTAGTTATTGTTTGAGCCCATAATGGGCATTTTTTATTCTTCATCAATATTTTTGGTAAGGAAGAATATTCTTGGATACTGCAGTAGTTTGGTGAAAATTCGTAGTCTTTTCAGTGGTGAGATTATTCCTGTCAGTTTTGTCAAATGCTAAAGGAATTGGAGATTTCTTGGGAATCCAAGAATACTTGGGACTGAATCAGTCAGTCTTTTCTCACTGTTGCTACTGTCTTGTTGGAAAAGTTTCCATGTGGGGTGAATGTGTACTTGTGCATGTATGTATATCATATGGATAACACTGTGGGGATTTCTGCGCTGTTTTGAGTCCTTCACTTGAAAACATATGTTCATAATGTTCAAAAGTTGGCATGTGATAGTTTTTATATTCTTGCTCTGATGACTTCAGTCTCCTGAGTAGATGCTGTGTTTTTAATTTGGTATGAGAATGATGTTGGTAACACACTGATGTTTGGTATTTGCCAGCAGCGCTTACCCCAAGTCAAGGACTTTTCCACATCCCAGGCTCTGCCACTGATGAAGTGCACAAAAAGCTGTGAGGGAGCATGGCCAGGACAGCTGGCCTGAACTAGCCAAAGGGATATTCCACACAGGTCACCACCCGTGGTATTGTGCAATTGCTTGTTTCTAATTTGCATTTTGATTTGCTCTGTCTCTCTCTCTCTCTCTGTTTTTTAGAAAAGGAGTTGTGGTTGTGGGATGAATAAAGGATCGTTACTTTGTTTTTTAGGAGTGCCTTTCTTCTAGTACACCACCATGTAAGTCACACTATAGCAAGAATAGAGGAAAACTTTCAGGTCCTCAAATCTCTTTGGCTACATAATGTTTTAGCAATATGACAACAGAGCTTGATATCTCAAGCCAGGGGTGTTTGTGGTTGCAGAGAAAGGAGAAAAGTATTTAGGATGCCTGAGCATATGCAGACTAAGGTCTAGGTCTTCCAACAATTACATTGCTTCACTCTGTGCTATAGAACTGTCACATTTCAGATTTTTTTGGTGTTTTTTTTTTTTNTTTTTTTTTTTAATTCTGAGGATAAATTTGCACCTGTTCTCAGTGATTCATTTTTTTTTTTATTTTCTTCAAAGATCAAGGAACAGAAGGGAAAACATGTTTTTTT